ATTTTTCCTCCAGCTCTCATCATGACCCACTGCAGCCCTAATAATCCACTATTACTATCCTTTGTCTCTGCAAAACTAATTCAGAGCTCAGGGTGGGGTTCTACCCCTCCTCTGTCTGGCACAGAGTCCTCACTTTGCTGACAGCCCATCTCCCTGTATTTCTTAAGCTAAGGACTCAGACCTAGAAGCCATTATCAGGCTGGACTGACTATTCCAACAATTGAATCCCTGCTAGTACCATGAATTCAGGGGGCTTAATTAATTTCTAACCCTTTACTGGTTCCAGAAATTTGGGGGAATCTGACCCTCCCAACAACCTGGACAGGGGTGCCATCTCACCCTCAGGATTGTGGGTGCCCACCGCTGCAACATGGACGTGTGACATCACACTCACACACCTCCTCTCCTCCGCAGCCAGCGAGGTACTCTTTTCTGTGGGGAGGGGCTTGGACTCGGAGGCAGAGAGACATTGCCTCCACATCTGAGCGCACCCCCCCCCCCGAGAAAAGGGCGCCTCGCTGGTTGGTTGCAGAGGGTGGGACTGAATTGCTTTTTTCTCAGAGGCTTTTCTCCTTGACTTTGTGGGTGCCCGGCCCCCACAATTACATTATTGTGGGGGCCCAAGTATCCACAGCCCCCTGCAGTTGGCTCCTATGATCTTGTAACAGTATTTTTTTAATCTGACAAAATTAAATTGATATCTGACAGCAGTCAACAGCTGACAGCATGTGGCATTTCAGATCTGATGGCTGCCAAGCTCAAATCTATCAAGTATTGTCAACAAGTTAAAAAATAAATAAATTGCATTTTGAAGTGTAAACTTCACATCTAAAATGTGAATTCAAATGTTTGAATTCAAAAACATTCAAAATCGAGAGATGCATGATAAAACTGTTTGCCAAATTTTGAATATTTGCAAATGGTCAATGGGCTACAACAGTGGTGGCCAACATGGTGCCTTCAAGATGAGGCTGAATTCCAACCCCAATTAGCCCCAACCCACTGACCAGTGATCATGACGGGGGCTTTGGTCCAACAAAATCTGGGAGACTTCAAACTCAATGCACATCATGTTGCACTATTGCAATTGCATGCACTTGTCCAAATGTATGTTTATAGAAGTGCCCACTGTGAGCATGGCTGTAACATAATTATGAAACCCTGGACATCTGAGTGTTGTGGATAGTTCTGCTCCTCCCACAATGTTATCCCTTGCTCTCTGCTTAAAACTAAGCACTGCAGAGATGGCCTCCTGAATAAGGATGAGCATAAGATTATTCAAGGAATTGAGGATCTGGTAAAATTAACTCTATCCCACATTGACAAAGGATATAAGTCTATGGTTCCATGCACATGAATTATTTGCTGCCCTCAATAATTGAGTTTACTTCAGAGACCTTTGCATGCGCAACACATAAAATTCTAATGGTTTCCTTTGCCAGTTTCCTGCCAGAATGGTTTGCTCATCTCAGTAATGTGAGCAGTGCCAAATAGGAATTGCACCCTAACTTAGCCACCCACCCACCCACGGGACAGCTAGCTTTCCTGGTCTTCAGTCACATGCTAGCATCAGTTTCTTGTGTTACCAAGAAATGGAGCCCAAGGTGAAATTACACAGATGAAGGGTCAAGGCTCTGTTGAAAGTGGGTGGGGTTGCTTATTTGGCTATGAATCCTACTGAGTTCTAAGGGACAAAGTAATCAAGTATAATTGGAAGGAACTCACTGCCACACACACAATGGTATCTCTAAGAACATCCCTTAACCTCCTCCCCTGGCTACCATTCATTTCCATGGAGAAAAGTAAAGTGTTGGATTTGGGACAATGATGGATGCCCATCACTTCCATTCCCCACCACTGACACTCAAAATTCTACAACTACTGAATATGTTGAGTTCTCATTAGGCTATAATTTGAAGGGTGGGTTGCAAATCTTGGGGATTCCCATGAATATGACACTGGAATCTTCAGGGTGTTGTTATTTGCAGACCATAAGGTCCTCCATGGGACATACCAGGAGAGGTGGTCTCGTAGGTATGAGGGTCCTAGGCTGTATAGGGTCCTCATAAGAACATAAGAAGAGTCCGCTGGATCAATAGTCCATCTAGTCTACTCTCCCAGTGGCCAACCAGATGCCTATGAGAAATCCACAAGAAGGACCTCAGTGCAAGAGCACTCCCCAATCCTATGGTTTCCAGTACCTGATATTCAGAAGCACTGTCCGCTCACCCCCTCCAAGAGGTGGGCAGGTTTTGCGACCCCACCTTGCTACAGGGTGGTCGTTGTCCTGCCCCCATCTCAGCAGACCAACGGGCTGCCAGCTGGGGGTGGGGCAAAGGCCGGAAAAGGCGCTGGAGCTCATGTCTCATTTCTGGGTGGTGAGCTCCAGGGACAAGGTTTTAGCGTGTGGGCTCACAAACCTCTCTGACTATGGAAGCAGAGCATAGACACTGTGACTAGTAGCCACTCTGAATTTGTCTAACCCTCCTTTAAAAATTGGTAACCATTGCTGCCTCCTGTGGGAGTGAATTCCATAGTTTTGGTCTGTGGTCTAGCTATTTCCTCATCTTACGTTGCCAGTTTGCTGCAGCAGACTCCCCTTCTAGGGATAACAAATGCCCATAAGTGTGAAAAATTGCACCTTCAGTCATAGCAGCATGACTTCGAAATGCTCTTGTGCAGGTGTGCCTGGACTCATCTCTGCTAACCTTTGGATGGGCAGAAAGGACGTGGATTTTTAGGTGGCCCTTTGGCCCAGAGTAGCCTTCTTCAATTTGACATCCTCCAAATGCTGTGAACTCTAACTCCCAGCCCCAGATAGCATGACCAGTAGTCAAGGATGATGAGGTCAATATAGTTCAATGATATGGTGGGAATCATGTTGGGAAAGTCTGGGCTAGGCTGCTGTTAACTGCTGCTTGCTATATGCAGCTTTTGGTGTTTCTCTGTTGTTTTATTGAAGGGGGTGGCTTTATTGCTCTGATTGTTCTATGTCATTTTAACTTTGTAAGCTACCTTGGGGAGGGGGTGCTTGCTGATCAAAAGGACAGGATATAAGTACTGTACTCAGACTAAATCAAAATAGCAGGTGCCTTGTTCACATATTGGGGTGGTGTTCAATGAAGTTTTAGAAAGACTAAAACTAATGGTCCGAATTTAGTTATGTTCAGTGGGTCTGCAATGAGTAAAACTCACCCTTGGCTTCTTTAGCCTCGATGAATGGCAGCCACAGAGGTGAGCTGACTGCATTGTCATGCATTGGATTTGAAATGCTGTGGAACTATTTGCGCCTTTGATGTTAGAGCTGCAACGGCCAAGGCTTCATATGCACAAGTCATCCCTTGATGCTGCAGTCAGCAAAACAATGGGGCGGGGACACCCTGCGAATCAGTCCAGCGAGAGTGAGACGGAGATCTGCAATCAGGTCTGGCACGAAGTGTCAGCCTTCACATCAGAATAAAGGAAATCTGTTTTCAAAAGACCATGCATGCTTACATGGGAGTAAGTGCCATGGAAAACCATGGGACCGATTTAAAAAGATGCCTACAGTCAAGGTGTATGGGTGATAGCCAACCAAGTCATCTTTGAAATCACCGGCTTAAATTAGCCATGGCCAATTTATTGCTTAAAAATGGGTCTGCTCTGAATATGACCTAAATGGATTCAAGAGCATAGGATTCAGCATCCCCAGTGCCCTCACCTTCTTACTCGGGTCAACCCACTCACGTTTTCACACGTGCCAGAATGGGCTTTCGCTCCTTTGACCTTGAATCCAACTGAAAGCTAGCAGCGCGTTCTAATGACCCGCTTCCTCTCTTCGCCTCCTCGCGAGGGCTCCCCTCCCGCCTTCTTTTTTATTCTGTTTTTTTTTAATTGGATCGCTCCCCCGTCATTCTGCCTGGCTTGCCCTTCCCTCCACCCGCTCCCCGCTGTCTTTGTTGCAGCCTGTTCGGGTCGTTTCCTTCCCGTCACGCCAGCACAGAGGTACCTTAGGAGGCTACATCAGCTGACCGGGTCTGCAGCAAGAGTCAGGAGGATGTAGCACTATTGCAGCATTTTTAATTGAGGCGGGGTGGGGAGGGGGGGAGGGCGAGGCTGCTGCTGCTGGGCGAGGGGGATCGAAGGGCGGAAGGGTTCCCCCTGGCTTCCTTCGCCTAAAGTCACCTCACAAGCACACACACTCACACCGCCTCCTGTTCAATCTGCCGTTTCCTAGGTGGAAGCCTGGGGAGCGCCAGGCAGGCGGTGCCATTCTATGTCCTGGTTTACTTTCGCTTCTGACACGCCCCGCTAGGGACAGCATCTTGAAAGCTTGACATTCCCCAGCCATACTGCTCTGTTAACCTTCAGACGCCCCTTTGCAAGGGAGGCGGGCGGAGAGAAGGGAGGGCAAAATACTCTTCGAAATCAACACAATTTACCAGCAGCTTGCGGGGAAGAGAGAGATCCCTCTGTCTCGAATGTATTAGGAGGCCATCTCCCTACTCTCTCAGCCTTCCGCTGCCATCCCAACAGCCGTCGCCCTGATATTTGTCCCTGAGCCTCCAGCCTTTCTCTCTAGAGTCCCAGATTCTCGAGAATAACAATGAGCGTGATCACGGGTGTGAGGCATGAGAGTATCGCTTCCGCGCGAGAGGCTTTGCAGAGAAACTGCTGACTTCGCTTCCCACCCACCCTGCCAAATCCCCACCTCCACGACTGTTTCCGATGCTCTCACGCTTTATCACAAATATAACAGTTTGCTCCGTTGAACAAATGCACTCCCCTCCCCCCCCGCCCTGTCAAAACTGCAAGCGGGTGTTGTTGCTCCGTTGGGTTCCCCGTTCGATTAGGTGCCCCCACCCCGGCAATCTGCAGTCAATCCCCTCCCTGCCCCCTCCCCATAACTGCAGGTGTGCCGGCAGCAACCTCCTGCGGCAGGAGCAGCTGCTCGCCTCTTGCAACCCTTACCGTGGGATGCTGGGGAGTTGGGGGGGGAGGGGGGGAAAGCGAGAGCCAGGCAAGAAATGCCGATCCAGCAGCCTCGGTGGCGGGAGGAGGAAGAGGGAGGAGGAAGGAGGCAGCGTAGTGTAAGGAGGGAATAGTGTCAGTGGGATGGTCCGGAAATCCCGTGATAAAAAGAGGGAGTAGAGAAAGTAAGGAGCTGGCGGCTTGTCCTTCCTCCGTTGCTGCCTCATCGTGCCAGGACCCTGTTCAAAGGAAGATAACTTCTCGCGCCTGCTCCTGCCTATGCCCTTCAAGCGACGCCTTTGAACTCCCGAGGAACACATGGACCCGGCTAGGAACGGGAGGCTGATTTGCTAGGAAAGCCGGGAAAGGACCTTGTCTCCGTATCTCAAGGAGGGGAGAGAGGACGGCAGGAACCCAGACGCTGCAAAGAAGGTATTTCTCGCTAGTCCTTTCCGCCCGTTTTCCAAAGGCCGGAGCTGTCCGTGGTGCTGAAGCCTCGGTGCTCAGCAATGTGTCCTTAGTACGGGAGTAGGCACCGCCCGGTCGCAGGGAAGTGTCCTTGGTGTTGAACACGCTCTTTCCCCCTCTCTTGCTCAAACGCCCTGCTGCTGCTGCTGCTGCTGCTGCTGCGAGCTCCCCCACGGATAAGAAATTGCTCGGTTTTTCTCTCTCGCTGTGCAGCGGGTAAGCTGTCCTAGGTGCTGAAAACCCCGCTATACTTTGTGGTTGCAGAGATTGGTAGTTGGCTGTGTAGAAGAGGAGGGGAAGTGCTAAGGATGGATCTATGGGACAAGCTTCGATACACGTACTGTTTGGCGAAGCCTCCCAAATCAGGGCGCGGAGGGGGTTGCAGCCAGCTGCCTTTGCAAGTTCACTGGCTGAGAGTTTTATTAGCTCGTGGAGGGGTTCGTTTATATAATATTGGCACTTGGACGCCTTGGTGCAAAATACAATACCTGAAAAAGTACCCCCCCTTTCCCCAAATTTTGTGTGTAGTCTCATTGCAACCTCATTGGAATTTCAAGCATGTCTCTCGTTCCTTTGGTGCATGCATTGACCCCCCCCCAAAAAAGCAGAAGTCTGAGGTCACAATATTTCTTTGCCTGTAGAAGTTTGAAGAGGGAAAATGCTCAAATGATGCAGCACTGTGTTCTGTTTAATAAGTTATCTCTAGTTCGCATTCCCCTTTCTCTAAAGGAAAATAGGTCTGCCTAAATGTCTTCAATATCATTATTTAAAATGAGAAAAGAAAGAAGTGTGTGTTATTTAACTGAGATGGAGCATTTTTGGAAGGATTTGCAGTGCATTTGGTTCTCTCTGCAGAGCTTTTAGAAAGGAGCATCATTGGTTAATAAGTCTTACCTGCAATCTTCCCTTTCTAATAATCCAATTCACTTTTGGAGTTCAAGTTCTGTTAAGCAGCTTGACATGAACATGTCAAATAAGGTATAGCATTTTGCTTGTGAAAACTCCTACCCCTGGGCAGTGGGGATGTCTTATTTGCTACTTCACAGCTTTAACTTAGTTGCCGCAACCTGAAATTCTATGCTATAATTCTAAATTATTGTGCTGAATCCCAAGAAAACTTCCTAATAACTTTTAGGGAAATTGACATTGTTTTTAAAGGGAGATACATCCAGTTTACTTTAGGGTCTCCTAGCTTACAAGATCTTGATGCCATTTCAGTAGCCAATTTGCATTAAATCTCTCTCATAATATGTCTGATATTTAACTCAATTTGACTGGAGTAGCTCTTCTGGTCAGTGATGCAGACATGCGGTTGGCCATTAGGAGATTCTGACAGAGAAGCCTGCTGCTGAGAATTCAAGGAGCACAAGCACTTCAACCTTCAAATGCCCCCCAGCCAAACGTCTGCTCTTAATAGCTAGAACTTGCCCCCCTTTAAAGCACCATCTCTCAAAAACCACAAAGGACTACCAAGCTGAAAATGTTGGACTCTTTACTCATTCGAAAATGTCAACTAAACCCAATAGCTTTTGCAATGAATTGAATATTCCTTTCTAATGACCCAGTATAAAAACTAAATGGGTGCCTGGCAAATTCAATCAAACAGCTCTGTGTGCAGATCTATTTACATAGCAATTGAATGCTCAGGTAGGTTTTTTTCTTTTCTTTTCTTAAATAGCTCTTGTGTGCTTGATTTTCTACTGAAAGATTCAGAGTGAATAGTATCTAACTCTGGGAATAGTTCCCCATTAATTCAGTGCTATCTCATGGCAATGTATCAGCAGTAGATTGCCCATATTCTTTGACTCCCTAAAGATCATACTACAGAATGTTAAGGAATATACAATGCTCCCTAGCTGCTCACAACATGATCAAGTAACTTTGGCTTCAGTGCGATAAATGGCCGTGTGTGTGGAGCGGAAGGGAGGGAGTTCAACCTAGCAGACTTTCAATAGGACATGTAGATCTAATGCAGTAAGACATAGAGCTGGGGCCCAGAATACAAAATGCAGCAACCCTAATGCTAATCTTTTGCTTTGTGAATTCAGCTGCAGGCTGCAACTCAAGACCTTGTCTCCGTCTGAATTGCATGTGAGAACTGCTCTGGTGGGAAGGAATCTAAAGCCATCACCATGGAATTTGTAATGAAGCAAGCCTTAGGAGGTAAGAGGAAAATGGTGCTATTTTGTGACTGCTTAATGGGAAGGAATCTTATGTCACCTCTCTGGAATTTGTAATGAAAGGGCAATTGGTGTGACTGCTGCTATTTTGTAAATGTGGATTTACACGCTTTCCCTCTGCCTTGACAACAACCAGTAAAAAATTCAAATGGATACTCATACTGAATAAGGGAATTTGAGGAAGCCCAGTGCAGACCACCAAACTGCACGGCTTACATAAAGAATGCTTCTCTTTGCACATTTACCTTTTATTCCTCCTCCCGATATATTATATAAGGTATCCAAACTGTGAAACTTGCAACTTATAATTGAGGTTTTACTATTTGCTGAATCACTGTGCCAGTAGGGGGCAGCACTGAAAGTTGCCTCAAGCCTATGGCTGGTTCCTGAACTTCCAGGCTCCTATTCTAAATGCTCAGATACTGTTCACTATTTATGGTCCCTACTAAAAAACAAACAAACCACTTTGACAGCATTCTTGCAGGAATTGTGAAGAGAATGATCCAAACCAGAATAACTGGAAACGAGCCATATGCTTTATGGCAGAGGGAGAGAGAAAATACATTCTTAATAGCAGGCTTCCTCAAACTCGGCCCTCCTGATGTTTTGAGACTACAATTCCCATCATCCCTGACCGCTGTTCCTGCTAGCTAGGGATGATGGGAGTTGTAGTCCCAAAACATCTGGAGGGCCGAGTTTGGGGATGCCTGCTTAATAGACTAGCAGGACACCTGCATTAGAAACGTTGTTTTAAACCAGTTCATCTGCTATGGTGCTCGGTCATGGGATTTTGAGGACTGTAATTCTGTGATGGATTTCTGCTGTGTAATTCTCAGCACAATTATTGTGATCTGCAGAGAAGGCTTTTCTCTGGGTGAGATGTGTTATGTGGTGGCTGGTCCATCTGGGTGAATGGGGAGCTGCCCCACCAACCTCCATCAGTCCAGGGAGTGGCTCTGGCTTTCATCTTCCTCCACCTTAGCCTCCATACTGCCCTTGTAGAACTCAATAGGAAGGAGGATGGCAACAAAGCAATAATGAGTTGGCTCTCCTGCTCCTTGGCTCTGTCTCCAATATTGTTGGTCTTCCTGCTTTCTGCCCTCCCTGTTCCAATTCTCACCAGCCACCACCGGAGCCTTCTCTCTAATGGCACCTTATTTTTTTGGAATTCCTTAGTTATATATGACCGATGCCTTCATTGATATCATTTTGGCACCAGGTGTTTGCCCAGGCACTTTGGCTGTTTTAATTTAGTGTTGATTTAGCCTGATCTGTGCTTTTAGCTGCTTCTATTGCTTGAGGAGGGGTTCTTAATTTTTTAAAAAAAGGGTTTTTATTATGTATTATATATGCGCATTATATGACCTTATTTGATGTGCTGTACCCTGCCCTGGTATCTGCGCATAAAAAGGGTGGGCTACACATATTGTTAATAAAGAATAAAAATAAAGAAACACACCCACAAAGCACCCAGGTTGTTCGGGGAAAGCCCTATCAGTCACACCGGTTTCAACCTCAAGCTGATGTACAGTTGTAGTATCGAAGTATCAGATGGCACTTGGATGACTGGTGTGAATAAAGTGAAATGGAGAATGCTGCAATAAGAAAGCCAGTGTCGATCATTAAAGAGTCCTATTGTGGTCGGCTTTGGCTGGTGTCTGATCTTTTAATGGATGCTCCATTAGAATCAAGTGGGCATGGTACAAATGACTTACAAGAAAAAGTACAAATGAAGATGCTTCTGTATGACTTGGCTATTCAAGTGCCCTTATGGAGGGCTTCTCTTCCTCCTGTGCCATTACGGGGCACATTTCAAAAGGCTTTTCCATTGGCTGTCGTTTCAAGTCCTATTAAGGCCTGCTTTGAAGGTCATTGATAGACTCCTGGTGATTTTGCAAGTCATGCAAGGTTTTCTTCCGCATACATATTATCCTGTTGGTGATAGGATTGTTGTTTGTTATGCTGTGTGGATGCAATTTGCAATATAAACACATTAGGAAGCTATTTACTTCATCAGGCACATTTATATTCAATTTAATTCTTTTTTTATGTACAAGGAAATAGTTTTTCTCATTTGCAAGTGATTTAAATGAGTGGTTTGATACGAGAGAGAGAGAGAGAGAGAGAGAGAGAGAGAGAGAGAGAGTGTTCGTATTTAGATTGTTATTTTTTATTTTTAAAAAAACCTTTTGGCTTTTTGGCTGCAGTGCTGCACATGGCTGGGCTTGTAAATTCTGTTAAAGTCAATTTCTATTAAGAAGCCTTATCATTGGAAATGTATAGCATGTTCTATCCCTTTGTGGGCATAGCTGTATCCATGGGAAAAGGATTGTCAAAAGATCCACATCTCTTCCCTTCCCTTCCCTTCCCTTCCCTTCCCTTCCCTCCCTTCCCCCTCCCCTCCCCTCCCCTTCCCTCCCCTTCCCTGAGGAACATTATACCTACTGTATGATGGAGTTTGGGGAACAAGTAGCACTATAGCACGGTGGGTACTAGGAGTTTCATGTCAACCACTTGTGAATCTCATTCTTGGTGTCCTGACTTGCAACTTACTCACACCTTGAGGATCAGCAGGAAGGAAAGGAAGTGGGACACTATGTACAGTATCTATTTCACTTATTACAACAACAATAAATTTAATCTGATTAATTACTTGCCCTTCACCATACATTCTCAGGCTGGGCCACAACAATTTTAAAACGCAGTGTTAAAAACATTTTAAAACAAGGTAGAATCCCTGTGCTGGTTCCTGCAGGGGTCTACTAATATGCCTCACAGAAAAGCATGATTCCAGGTGTGGGGAACATTTTGCTTTCCAGATGTTGCTGAACTACAACTCCCATAAATCCCAGCAAGCATGGCTAATGGCCAGGGATGGTGGGAGTTGTAGTTCAGTGATGTCTGGAGAGCCAGCGGTTCCCCATGCCTGGATTATGCCTATAGTCATTTTGCATCCATCTTTAAAACATTGGCATGGAATCAGCAGAGAGGAAGTGAGAGAGGCAAGAGTAAGAATGGTTGGACTCCTGTGTGAGCCAGGGCATCATTATTCCCATTATTACAGTTGGAGAACTGATGCTAACTAACAGTGACTTGACCTAGATCATTCAATGTGACTGTGATGGCAAACTGCAATACACCAGAGCAGGGAACTGGATCTGGCTGGTGGGCCAGATCCTGGGATCCCCCACCTTGGTAGGCCATTATGAAAGGTGGCCAGAGCTCCACCCATCTGGCAATCATTATCTAGTTACGCTATGATGCCCAATGAACCGTTCTTCCTTTGTAACGTATCAAGTCACACCAAAAAGTATAAATTGAAGCTGAGTAGGGTGTAAAGTCAGCTGATAAGTGGTGACTCCTAGCTTGCTTTCTGCATGGAGAACTTGGTAGCACTGCCAATCTCCTGAGCTTGAAGTTACTGACTATCAGCTGATAGGTGGTGACTCCAAGGTGGGCTTCCTTCAAGAGTTCTCTGCACCACCAAATCTCCATTTCAGTAGTGCAGCCAATCCCAGGAGACTTGTTCTCCCCGCCAACCGGCTGATCAGAATTGTCCTTCACCTGGATGTGATAGGGCAAGTGTATTCTCATGAGGTCTTCATTTCCAGTTCTGACACAGTCGAGGCAAGGCAGGTTGGCCAGCGCTAAGGCAGGTAAGCACATCTGGCTGCAACATGGAGATCACATCTCAATGACTTCAATTGGGCCCTCCTGAGGGTAGATGCTGGCCTCTGACACTGGCCATGCTGCCATTGTGTATAACTCTTCCTGCCAGATGAGTGGATGGCTGATTATGTGGGCCTTCCCTCCTGACTGGCATCTGCTGGGAGGGAGGATACTGACTTGGGTGGAAGGACCCATCATATCAGCTCTACCTATACATAAACACGCCAGTAGGTGTATATGCAGGACTCAAGCCCAAACACTGTCATGTTGTGCTTCATTAAGATAGGTGAGCGCATGACTACAGTTCAGGATGCAATAAATCCCACCGGCTTTGGTGATGCTATTTACGGGCTTTTAATTAGACCTACAGTTCCGTTGTTCTTGAAGAGAGTGGATCTTTTCGGGGAAAAACAACAACACACCAGCCTAACCAATCAGCAATTTAATTGCTGCTTTCTAACATAAACTTACTCACATATCCCTCTTGGGTATTACATCAGAGACGAGAACTTGGGAGAACAGTTTGTGAGCTTTGGTCTCACTAAAGCTAGACATGTGGTGGCTTGTAGTATTAAAAAAAAGGGGGGGAGCACCTCTGAATATGTTTTGTACAAATTTAGTCTGCCAACATTTTGAAAAGAGGCAAAAGAGTCAGGAAATCAATAAGAAGCACAGAAGCGATGCTCTCAAGGCAGGTTGGAACTGCACTGAAAATACAACTGTATTTCCCCACTTTGGAGCAGACCGAGGTTATAATAGCAGGTTCAGACCCAATTGATTTGTTTGGCAATTTTAAATTAGCTAATTCCAAACTAGCTGGACTCCAACGTTGGGCAAACACATTGGTATGAAACAAAACAAATTAAATCTACCGAGGCTTTTGCTTTTAAATGAGATATTCTTTGTCATTACCTAGGAACAATGAGGAATCTGCTTATGAACTGCTTATTGAGAATTTGTAGTGTGGTTGAAATTCTGGAGCTTATTTGCAGCAATATTGACCTTGAAACAATGTCAAACATGCAGCCGGCATCGAGGCAGACACTGGAATTTAGAGTGAGGCAAGGTTAAGAAAGCAAATGAAACAAACAATATGATCTGATCTGTTAGCTGGCAGAGGCCGTAAAGTTGTCTTGGGAGAAGAGAGTGGCTATAAATCGATGGAAAAACATAGGAGCAGGGCTGGTTCAACATATTTTGGTGCCTGAGGTGGGAAATCCAGTTGGTGTTCCCATCCCATGGGCCACAACCATATTAGCAATAAATTAATTAATTGAGAATGGCATTCAACTAAATTTTACTCAGAGGAGACCC